CCTTATGTACTTATGTGAATAGGCGTGTTATTCGGTATTTCTATATTTATTTCACATCTCAAACAATATCATTCTTTTCTTACTATCTTCTTTCTAGAATGATATAATGTCTGAACCTTTAGTTAAGTCAACACATGCTCTTTCTAAGGAGGAGTTGGAGAAGCATATTGCGCGTGTAACGATGCCGCGAAAGCCTGTTGAGTTGTCCGATCCCTTTCCTCTCTGCCCGACAAAAAAATTACCTCAGTCAAAAATCGAAGATATGGTTCATCATTTGTATACGCAATCCATGGAGCTTCGTGCAGCGAATATCGCCGAGTTAGAGGCTCACATTTATAAGTCCGAAGGTGTTGATCACACTCCTTTAGACCAAGATGAAATCGAGCTTTCTGTTCGTCGCCTATATAATGATGCAGTTTTACAGAAAAAGGAAAATCTTAATAGGTCTAGAAACCAATATTTGTTCCGCTACCCCAAAACAGAAAAAAAGATTCTATTAAAAGATATTGTGCAACACATGTATTCAGATCGCATCGCAGCTAAGGAAAAAACGGCCCAAAAGTTGTATGATAAATACATTCGCTCTACTGAAATCGATGCGTTTCATGCGAGCTCTGTTGCGCATAAGTAAGCTGGATTACGAATATTCAAGAAAAAATTATGCACAGGGTGGTTTAGATTAGTATAAGGATTGTAAAGTATCTGTGTTCCATGTCAAGAATCGTAAAAAGAAGCTTGTTTGTGCATATAAAAATATTTTATTTTTTCCACATTCTTTTAAGTGGACAAGATAATGAAGGATGTCGATATGAGTTGTTTTGATTTTCTGCTTAGTAACACCTGAATTTCAACCAAGCTATGTTCATTTCTAAATATTTTCTGAATGTTATTTACTGTGAAGGGAAAAATTCTATAGACAGGTGCAGGTGACAACCATCTTCTCCCCCGTTCTTCATGCTACGGTTTTTATTAAATAAAACACATTAATAACGTTCCCTCATCCATGAATCATTGATTTATTCCCTCAACAAAGGATTTTAAAAAGGATTTGCCTTTAGAAAAAAATAGCGAAGCGCGATTGCAATCGGAGTAAACGTTCTGAGTATTTCTTCCTGCTGTTAAGATACTAATTTTGAGCAAAATGGATGACGCCGAGTCTTATCTTAAGCGCGTGTCCAAAATGGAGCGTCAACACTTCAGCAAGGGCTTTGCATCCGCCAAACGAATTCCCGAGGGAGTTGTGCAATTGCCATCTGCTGATAAAGAATTTAGTACTTTACATCTTGCGTACTATCGAACCACTAACATTCTACCGATGAAAAGGAAACGGAATTGCTCGATTGGCAATGATACTGCTTTAGGTGTTAAAAGCGCCAATCCCTCTCAGGTCGGGCCTGCCACTTCAGGTAGTGGTGGTGCCAGGAGAAGCTGCCTCATGGATGCGGGTGTGCCCTCAGTTGATGCGAAACGTGCAAGCGATTCGACCCCTTTCCTTGATGCGGCTGGCACCCCTAGCAGTAGCGCCCCCGCCTCCGGGGTTCCCCAGAGACGTGTGAGCCTCATCGATAAGTGGTTCCCAGGCACCACCCTAAAGGAGGCCACCGTGGAGGTCAGCCACACCCCTTCAGTGGAGTTTGTCCAGGAAACGGTAGGGCGAGTGACCGGGGCGCGTGAGAAGATGATTCTGCTCCGCAGTGGCGTCGAAGACTTGGAGGGTCTTTTGCGCAAATGGACAACGTCCCGAGGAACCCAACCGACGGGGCACCGCGCAGGAAACCGAAATGAAAACAGGGAAGGAGATGTTTGGACAGATTCGGAGATGAGCATTCTGGTAAAGCGTGTTGGACTTGCTTCGATCAGTGAGGCTCTAGCGCAGTTTGCACTTGAGCCTTACCAGCGATCTGGAACGGTTAAGCAGCAGTTAAGGCAGCTAATGCATCGCAAGAATATTTTTGCCACCCCGCATTCCTTTCGCATTGAACTGCTGCAAGAGTTTCTAGATCTAAAAGGCCCTGAGACTAGTAACTTACCTACGCTTTCGCATTTTATTTGGCTCAGCAGTGTCGGCACAACTGAGTTATTTACAACTCTCACGCAGCGCTTCTTGCGTAGAATACGCACACACGCTTCCTCAGCAAATGATACTTTGGGTGAAATGGTTTACCAAGTCTCTGGTACTGAAGGCTCTCCCAAAACTAGTGGCGATAATGAGGAGGAAAACAATTCGCCATGCTGCAAGAGGGATGATATGACGGCGACAGCGAATGACTTTCAAAATAAGCCTGGAGATCAAAGTGGGGCTCTCCCCCCTTCTGTCAGTCTCACACAAAGCCAGCAGCTGCTGCTATCCTTCTTCCGTGCGTTCATGCCAATATGGGGAGTGCCGCACGAAGTATCTACAGTAGGGCTGGCTGATGGGGCTACTTCCGGCCCGCGCCTGATGTCTTCTGGCTACGGGGTGTGGCTGCTCGCCTGCTTGGTGGCGCTCGACACCCCACTCGACCCAGATACCGATCGTCTCGTCCACCGTTTGTTTCGCACAAGCTGTGAGCAGATCCGAGTCCTAGGAGAGTGGAAAGGAGTTCATGGAGAGAAGCGTGGCGCGCTTCTTGAGGCGCTTGAAAAGTGTGATAGTTCCTCCCTACTGGATGCAAAATACAAAACGTACATTAGAATTGAGGATCTAGGTGCGGAGGATCTTCGCGCGCTCTACACGATTGTTGTTATTCTTGCTAAATTCTTTCGTCAGAATCAGAACCGTTTTATTCCTCTATAATGATATGTAACGAGTGCATAACGACGAAAGTGTTTGGGTAAGTAGCACATCATTATCAAGCTGCTTCCGTAAAAATCGAAGCAAAAAGTAACTTTCATGATTTCAATGATGCTGCACTCATGAGTTCTTGAACTGCTTAATAAATTGGCTAACGCATAAAAAAAAGATTCCATCATGGGTATTTCTATGGTACGGACTTTCTTCATCATTCGCTTAAATCGGAAGCGGGAGATTTCAAGGGAGTTGTGGATCGATTTGAGTGTCCCCTCTTCCCACACACGCACCGATGTATTTTGAGGCCACATTAACAAAATACCACAATTAGAAACTTCTATATATACACATAAACATAGAATGATAAATTTGAGGTGTATAACTAACCAGAGCGGATATTTTTTGCTAAGAGCTTTCCACTCGCGAAATCACGTCATATTTTACCCTTCATTTCGTACAAATTTTCGCATACATCGCCTACTTGATAAGAATTGCAAATAGAACTTATGCGTCTAGAACTAAAGAACCCCTACTTCCCAATGCGCGAAACTGCAGCGCTGTTGAAGCGCTCAGTAGTCTCTGCTGCCTCGAGCTACTGTGTGTTGAAGGGAGGACGGACCTTCGTGGCGTCATTTCCAGTCAGAAAATTAGTCTGCCTAACTTCGCACAAAGGCAATCTACGCCCGTTGTTTACGCAACCGAGGTGGCATTTGGTTGGATGTCCTTTGGCATTTTCTTTAAGAAGTTACACTGATGTATCATCTTCGCACGACAGTCAGGGCAATAAAACTCGTAAACATTCGAACGTGGAGACACATTACAATGACGACGAAGATTCTATCATAAGGAAATGCAAGTGGGACTCACCAGAGTTCCCGGAGCGCCTAGGCTTTGCATCGGACGAGCCATTTGACGAATATCAGCTACGACGGAATTATAGGATTTTAGTTAAATTCTTCCATCCGGACAGCCCAACCGCACCGCAGCAGCACGCCACTGAAGCATTTCAGAAAATCAAAGAGGCATATGATGCATTAAGTTTTACCCTCAGGGGCGACACAAATGAGGGCAATTTCAGGGCAGGCGACCACCAAAATGCCCAAGGCATGACCTTCGCAGATGAAGCGCGTCGGCGTGCCCAGATGCGTTTTTTGGGCGACGGAATCATTCTTTTCCTTCTCATGACACTTTTTTACATTTACATGGTCTCGCGGCATAATGCGAAGCGTCTCGGATCTTACAATCTATGGCATTTCGCTGGTATATTTTTTATTATTCAGCTTTTCCCGCGGCTTCTGGCTGCGGCGGTCTTGTTTGCATGCCATACGACTTATCTTATAGCAAATGCGGAGCTCACAGAACAGAGTGCCGCAACGATCTTGCTACGTCAGGGGGATCATGACATGCGGATGCAATTGCAAGGAATTCCAAGCAAAGAAGCGGCGAACGTGGTGATCCAAGTCGTGGTCAGTGTTCCAAAGGACATAGCCGCATCGCCCGCGGCAACGCGTACTAAAGAAGACACAGAACATCTCAGCAAAGGTGCATCTGCTCTTTTACATAGCACTACCCTAACTTTCGATAAGGGTGTGCTGGATGTCGTAATCCCGCTTCCACCTAAGGGCTTTGACCAGAAAACCACGTACTCTGTAAAGGCGGTTGATGAAGCACGAAAATTTGTCTTGGTCGACAAGACCTTTAGCGTAAAGGCATAAAAGAGAGTTAGGCCCTAGTCTGTAACCTTTCTCCTTCTAAAATAGGCTACAAATAACCCAAAGAATTTTCATAATATCGACGACTTATTTTTGATTAAAGTATCTGCATCTTTACCTATCAGCCTTAATGGCTTTTGTTTTCTTCATGTTTAAATATTCCGTAGAGGATATTGATCAATCCAATTACACAAGGCAATCAAAATCGGAAAGTTTTGCAATATAGGTATTGCAGAGGCTAAAAGTGTGAAATGGGAAAGAATTTGCATGCTATCCGCAGATTAGTATGCTGTGCTCATAGCTCCCGACGTTTTGCTTTGAATCGAAATGAACATTAGCACCTTTGGCATTTTCTCCGAGGTGACAACGTATCACTAAAAAGGGTGTTTCGTGGAAAAATTGCACTATATTATTATTCTATTCTTTTTTTTTTTTTTAGCTAATAAAGGAGTTAAAAGCATACTTAGTCAGCATCATGTCGTCACAACAAACATTGGCCCCCGCGCAGCGGCGCATCTTTGAAAAAATGGGCAATGAACTTGAGAACCGTGAGTATACCAAAGCGCTGCGCTCGGCGGACGCAATCCTCAGCGTAGTACCCGAGCATGCGGATACGCTCGCAGTGAAGGGTGTATCGATGTTCAATCTAGACCACAAAGAGGAAGGCTATGAGATAATTAAAAAAGCCATTGCGCTTAACCCGGGCTCTACGATGGCATGGCACTCTCTAGGGGTGTGTCAGCGCAGTGATAGGAACTACCACGAAGCTCTTAAAGCATTCAAACGTACCCTAACAACAGATCCGAATAATTTTAACGTTATGCGGGATATCTCGTCGATATGCATCCAGTTACGGGATTGGGAACAGTTTTTGGAGTTTCGCGAAAAGATGTTGAAACTAAAATCTGGAATCCGTGCAAATTGGATCGCGCTCTCCTGCGGTCACCGTATCCTTGGTAATTACAAGCTCGCTGCCGCCATGATGGATGTGATGGCTTCGATTATGAGCTGTGGCGATCACCCGGCGGAGGTAAGTGAAGTCCAGCTTTATCGGGTTGAGCTAGAACTGGAGAGTGGTGAACCTCAAAGAGCCCTGGAGCTGTTGAAGCGGCACGATGCAGAAATAAGGGACACCGTTATGAAGTTATTACTGCGTGCCAAGGCGCATGCTCAGCTCGGCCAGAAGGCAGAAGCTACCAAGCGTTACATGGAGCTCATATCCATGGGCTTTCATGAAGCTGACTGCATCGCTGCGATCGCGCAGCTGCGTAAAATACCATTGGACGCTTATCTTCGGCCCAAGCGCGATGTGGATAAGTATATGGAGATGATGGATCAGGTACTCGAGGTCACCAATCATAAAGGCAGCAACTACGCTATTCGTCACATCCTGGACTGTGTGCCGTTGGATCAGTTCAGGGAGCGTCTCATCACATTTGTCAAACCCTATATCATGCGTCTGATTCCCTCCATTGTCAGCATTCTCAAATCTCTTTATCGAGATGAAGACCGTGCCAAGGCAGTTGGAGAGGTCTTTCAGCAGTGGGAGCAGGAGCTCCTTTTGGACGATTTTTCTGGCTTCGGCCGCGAAAAAAACCCCTGCTACATTCTTTGGGTATGGATGTTTCTTGCATCCCATTATCGTCGGACGGGGGATTACGCTACCGCGCACAACTACATTGACAAAGCCATTGCCCACACACCCACGCTCGAGTTGTTGTATCTTGAGAAGAGCAAGATCTATGCGCGTGAGGGGAAGACGTCAGAAATGGCACAATGTGCTGACTTTTGCCGCAAACTGGATCTGCAGGACAAATACTTGAACAGTAAGGCAGCCAAGTATTTTTTCCGCGATAATCAGATAGAAAAGGGTGAAGAGACGATGCAGCTATTCTACAAGGAATCAGTTGTACAAGGTGACACTTATCTCACTGCATTAGAATCACAATGTGCCTGGTATGGACGCGAGGTGGGTGAGGCCTTTTACCGCCGTGGCGATTACATCTCAGCCCTCCAGAACCTCCTCCTATTCGAGAAACATCACTACAACAATCACTGTGAACTGACTGACTTTCATGCGTACGTCTTTCGACGCTGCACGATGCGGCCATGGTTTAACGTCCTTGATTGCGACGATAACATAGGTAAGAATAAATTCTTCCTGAAACAATGTCCAGCCATTGTGCGCTGCTACATGAAGGTGGACGAACTCGGCGAAGAAGCGGTGCGCGCCGCGCACACGCCGCGTCCAGAATTGGTGCTAGATGGGATCGGCTCCGAGGATGCCAAACGCCTCAAGCAGTTGCGAAAGGACTATTATATAACAAACCTCGACCTTACGGAGCCGATGGCCAAAGCTGAACGTTACCTAGGCTACCTTCTCGAAAACTGTGCGCACCTCGAGAGTGTACACACGCTGGCCGTAGAATACTACACTAAGAGGAAGAAGCCTCTTGTAGTGGCACGCGAACTGCTAGCCCTGAAGCGACTTGGTCACCGGGGATTGGGTGCACTAGTGGAGGAGTTCAATCAAAAACTTTACGTGGAACGCGTCAGTGATATGGACGACCGTGTGCGTGGTGTTGTGGATGCGATTCTGCAGCAGATAGCCAGATTAGACTAGCCCCTGCACTCAATAACGGATATTAGTACACGTGCATGCATATATGTGGAGATTTACAGCTAGAGTGAAACGCCATTATTATAATGAAACTTTATATTCATTCTTTCTGTGAATGTGCGAGACAAACGCGAAGAAGCATTTTCCCTCCCTATTATCTTACCTTCTTCGACGGCATCTTCTTTTCCAGATGCTACGCCTAGTATTCACATAATGATTCGTTAATATTTATTAACCTTTAATGAATTAATAAACAAGGAGAAATTCTTGCATATGATTGCTTCTGCCATTATGTTACACATTAATGTTTCTGTTTACAGGATTTAGCCTTTGAAATGTTTTATCTGTCTTCTTCTTCTTCTTTTTTTTTGGGGGGGGGGGGGGGGGGGGATCGTTCTTTTTTTAATCTGGCAAATTAAGCAATTTAGTTCTCCATTTATTATTTACCTCTCCGAACAGTATACACATACACACATAACAGGGATGCCTAGACTTGTGGTCGAATACGCCAAGTCTGGAAGATCCACTTGCTCCGCATCTGGATGTGGTTTGAAGATCGCGAAGCATGAAATTCGCATCGGAAGTGTGAGTAACAATCCATTCGATGAAAACGCCGGTGAAATCATTAAATGGCGACATCTCTGCTGCTTTTCGGATGTGCAATTAAAAAACGCAGAGCAGTCAGGTGCTATTGAGCAGATTGAGGGTTTTGAAAGCCTCTCTAGCGCTGACAAGGATCTGATTGTCAAGTTTCAAAAGGGCGAATTGAAAGGTAAAACCGAACTTATCGGTCGTTTGGGTGACGTTGCGAACTCACCCCTTGCTGAAGCACTTGGAGCAGGAAAACGCGCTGCTCGAAAGAGGGCTTCCGAAAAAACACCCAAGGGTTCGACATCTCCCAAAAAAGCACCAAAAAAGGAGTCGAAGGAAAAAGAAACACCTCAAAAAAGGGAGGCTTCTGTTGATTCTGATGCGACCGAATAGAGGTAACCTTTAGGGCATGTTTGCCCGTGAACACGCACGGCAACATGCCTTATTAATCCTAATTTTCTTTTGCAAAGGGATCATTTGCAGGGAAGTTGAAAAAGGTGTTCTAGGACTAAAAAAATTATGCGATAAAAAGGCAGCGATCAGCGTTGTTGGAACTATATCATTAGACTCCACTTAATAATGATTATTCTTGGTGTATGTAATATAAAAACCTCGCGCAAATATTTCCCTTTTTCTCCTCTTAATGTATTTCGCAAACAAGCAATCCAATGAGTGTCCCCGGAGGTTCAGACGCTTGCCCGGCCCGCAGCTCCGGCCTGCGGCCCGGCGAGATGAGGACCTACTTTTGTTCACTGCACTTGCTAGCGGCCGGGTCAACGGCTGCTTAGCTCAATGGCAGAGCGCCGTCCTAGTAAGACGGAGGTCAGGGGTTCGATCCCCCTAGCGGCCTTTTTTCGGTCTGAATGAGCCCTTTCATTTGTTTCTCCAAAACAGATACATCGGCGACAGGCAGCCTTCTGTAGCTCAATTGGTAGAGCATGTGACTGTAGAATTCGGCAGGTATCACAGGGTCGCTGGTTCGATTCCGGCCGGAAGGAAAATTTTTTGCCGGACGAAGGGCTGGAGAGGAGAAGCCCGGTCCCCTCCCTTGGTCGCCCACGGGCCGAGCGGCCAGATGAAAGTGGAAAATTTTGGAACCTCTCGCTTTATCGTAATGCCTGGGTTCCCCCATCC